TTTCGTCCCTTCAGAATGACTAGACAACTGTCCTGCATCACTGACAAGGAGAAACACTCCGGAAAATCTGCATGAACTTTCTCGCCAATGCAGGGATCGAATACCCTACCCCAGGCTAGCGAGCCAGCGCCTTACCCACTTAACCACCCTAAATACTTAAGTCTGAATATCATCCACAGCCTTCGACATTGCAAACAAATGAAATTTTCAAAACTGAGTTTTGCTTAATGCAGACGGGACATTGAAATCAACATTTTAAGTTTCGTCAAAATCGGATAAAAATTGTAACCTGTATAGTGTCCACTAACAAATAGTGGACGGACGGACGGGCAGCGGGGACGACAATATATGTCCGCCTAAAAACGTGGCCGTATAAAAAAGTTCTTGTATACCCAGGGCCTTAACTAGCTCAAAGCAACGAAAAATTTTCACGGGGGGGGGGGGGGCGAAAATTTTTGCGGGGGGGGGGCTGTGTATACCTCAATGTCCCTTTGAAACACGGTGCTAAAATTCGTTGTCGTGAGAATAGAGGAGGGGTCATCCCCCTTCGGGTGGGGTGGGGGGTTGATTGCCGAATGGTTTGCACGTGCGTGCTGTATCATGAGGCCTGTCATTGAGTCAACTGGCGTGGTTTCGAATCCCCGGTTGTACGTGACAAGAAGTAGGGTTGCCTGTCCAACCCCATGAGTTTTCTCCGGGTCCTCCGGTTTCCTCCCACTACTAAAGATCCCTACGCGCAATATTGAAATATAATTAAACCATATGTTTTTCCCGAAATGACCTAGTCTGTGCCGAGTGGACGTTAAACCCCATTTCTCTCTCTCTCGTCTCCCTTCGCCAGAAATAAATCAAATTAAAACAGGAGGCAAAGCTGGTTTATATCTTCTTGAATTCGGTTAGTTTATTTATAGATAAGTGCAGTTTGGGGGATTCTAATTGGTGCGCCTTGATAAACAGTGCGGCTAATCAAATTACGACATTCAGATTACTAGATCATGGATCCCAACATACGGACGATACGCTTGAGAACAGACAAGAAGCCAATTGAGAAACATTTCAAGTCCTAAATCAAGACTTTTTCCTCGAGAAATTTGAAAAGTATTCATTCTGCTTCCATTTAATCAAACCGAAAATGTTTATTTATTCTGGGGGTTTGGATAGACAAATGGTTAGCACGTGCGCGCTGTATCATAAGGTCTGTCGTTGAGTCAACTGGCGTGGTTTTGATTCCCCGGTTGTACGTGATTAGGTGTAGGGTCGCCTGTCCAACCTCGTGGGTTTTCTCCGGGTCCTCCGGTTTCCTCCCACTGCTAAAGACCCCTACACGCAAGCGAAATATTGAAATAGAATTGAACTATATGTTAGTCCCGAAATAATCTAGTTTGTCTAGAGTAGACGTTAAAGTCTTTCTTCCCCAGCATAACCGAAGTCGAGGACTTTATCTTGCTTATAAACCGTCTATGTTTACATGTACGCAAGATGAGAATATCCCAGAATTCCCACAAGAAAAACCTTATATCATGTTTACTTATGGGAAAAAACCCTACCCTGGAAGAATAACCCATTACAGGTTTAATGAAAAACTTTCAGAAGAATAACCCCAAATTCCCTGTATATATTCAAAACCTCCCCCGTCTTTCTGACCGCAAGTTATTCCGGGCATAGAATGTACCCCAAAGATCAAAGAGATTTACCGTTACAGGTTTATAACCCCAGAGACTACCTGGGAAACATTAAAGGGACAATAACACTCTTGCTGGCTTGACAGCTCCAGTAAATAAATATTAGCCTTATTCTAAGTATTAGATGTTTAAGTGTCCTACCTGTTATGTAAATTATCCATTACATCCTATTTTACTTGTCCAGAGGGTTCGAAAATATTCTTAAATCCAAGTCACATTTGAAAAGGTTTACGTTAGGCTTTTCAAATCATTTAGTTGAATTTTTCCAATTTTTTAAATTAGGTGTGTTAAGATGAAATTTGTATCATCAATTAATTGGAATACTGTAAAATAGTACAATTTGTTGACCAGAATAAAGATTGGGACATATTATTCTGCTACAACAAGAGTGGTATTGAGCCTTTAAGGAAAAACTCGTCTTATGAACCAGAAATGAAATGGGGTTTAACGTCCTACTGTTCTGCTCTTATGAACCAGATCAAGGAAGATATTCAACGACCAAACATTAATTACTGGTCATGCGAATATGGTTAGATCTTATTGATAAGGCCAACTTCAACAATCAAACATTAAACATACATTATGCAAGAGATACACTTGCCTATTGCAAGACTTTATTTAGGATTCAGATGTTATAGAAATTATTAATTAGACCTTTATTTACACAAGGTCAAAATCAACTCTGTAGACCCTCGGATGACTTGGATACAGTTTGGATTTAAACAGTCGTCCATTTAAAATTAAATCAATAAATGGCGGACCAAGTTAACGTTTACCGTTAGTCGCTGATGTCACTAACGGAAACTGGTGATGAAAGGCCTGTCAAGTGAGGCTACCACAGCCATTGAGCATATGTTACTTGATAATCGGGAATATGTGGGTGGAGTTATCGTCTGCCAATCAAACGATCGCCAATTCTCATAGACGGTGCAAACACAATTGTGAATTGATGCATATTTCTAGTCCAAACTTTCAACAGTGACAATTCCGTTCAGAACAAATCATTTGACTCAAATTTTCAACATTTTCTTTTTTTATCATCTATTTTTGAATCATTATTGCAAGAATGGCCAACTCTTTATAAAACTCTTAACTAATGTATCTTAAATTACTGGTCATGCGAATATGGTAAGATCTAATCGATAAGGCCAATTTCAAGTTAGGTCAAAGGTCACGAGATGTAAACAGAGCTAGCTCTAATCCCAACCGTAACCCTTACCCTGGACCTAGCCCTAATACTTACCCCAATGCTTACCCTACAATCTCGCCATCAATCACGTGCCTAACCTTTTTCAGCAACCTTGAAGAAAATTGAGCTGGCCTTAACAAATATATATTGCCATGCGAATATAACAAAACCACGTATATATTGTGTACACTTAGTTTGTCGATTTGTAAATTGAAAAATGGAATTGACAAACAGAAAGCAAAAATAATATAAAAAAACCTCACCGCCATTAGACAGGGAATTTTTTTCAGATATCTAAAGATGAAATTATCTTGAAGCAGAACAGATTTATTAAATCTCATTATTGTACGTTTCTCTTGGGAAGACAAGCCGGGACAATATTAGATGCATATTCCTGAAGCAATGGCCGGAGAAATCCCTCTAGTGGGATTAGGTCTAATCAAACGAAACACTGCGAGGAGCATGTATTAGTTAGTGCAATCGTTATTCCTTGCGATAAAAGGTATAAAATGAAATGAAATAGGGTTTAACGTCCTACTGTTCTGCTCCTAAACTGGGCTAATGAAGACGGGCATACGCCATACAGTGTGCTATTAGGGAAATTTTGCCTGGGCAGCGGCACTATGGCCTACTCTTATATCGAATTCCAACTGCCATGGGATATTTTACGTGCACGCCAATGTGTATGCGGGACCTCGGTTTTTCGTCCCATCCGAACGACTAGACAGCTGTCCTTGTCAAGCCCTCTGTCCTGCATCACTGACAAGGGGAAACCACGCCGGAAAATGATAAAAGGTATGTGCACACTGCAGTAAAAGTTCCTTGCGATAAAAAGTATGTGCACACTGCAGTATAAGTTTTTTGCGATTAATGAACTGTGCACACTACAGTATAAGTTCCTTGCAATTAATGGTCTCGCACACTAAAATATTAATCACGTCGGCGTTCCTTGCAATTAATGGACTGTGCACACTGCAGTATAAGTTCCTTGCGATAAAGGGTATGTGCACACTACAGTATAAGTTCCTTGCAATTATTAGTCACGTCGGTTTTCTTTGCGATAAATGGACTGTGCACACTAAAAAATTAGTACAGTCTACGTTCCTTTTATTTTGAATCTCAACTGTCAAAGGTTATTTAACATGCACTCCAAAAAGAACTCAGGACCTCGGGTTTTTGTCCAATCCGACGGATTAAACGCTGCTGCTTGTCAGACCTTCCCTTTCTCCACAAATCGAGACTGTGATAAAACTCCAGAAGAACTTCCTCGCGTAACATTGGGGTCGACCACAGGATCTCTGCTTTATGTAAGAGCTAAATCTGCTTATTGCGGGTCTTTCTTTTGGCTTCAAATGTTATCTAAATTATTATTTAACGTTTATTCGCCTGACAAGTCTGTTATCAACTCTCTAGACCATCGGGTGACCGAGATTTAAATGAATTTGCTGCGATAACAAGCAATGGTTGTAATTTTGACAAGATGTGCGCCTCGCTTCTCCAGTTTTAAATTAAATCATTAAATTATTAAAAATCTGCACCATCCGATGGCATCGAGAGTTGATTATGGTCTTGTCGTGTTAATAAATATCTTATTAATAATTTATATAAATGGCCATATTTTAGGCCTAAAGAAACACCTGTTTAATTTAGCTGACTACATCTGACAAGTTGCAACTGACTGCCGAATTGAGATCGGCTGCTTTGAGTAAATAGTCTAAACTAATCGCAATGGGACAATGTGGACATAACATATAAATGTAATGTAACAGGCTTTTAAATGAAATGGGGTTTAATTTCCTACTGTGCATTAACCGGGTCAATGAAGAGGGGCATAGGCCTACAGAAAGGAACATTTTTTTCCCGGGGGCAGCGACGTTTCAAAGTTAAGGGAAAACTTCGATTTTTTGTCCCTTCCGAAAAACTAGTGCTAGCGCTAAACCCAACCATAACCCTGGACCTAGGCCCAATGCTCCTAACCTACAATCTCGCCAACAATCACGTGCCCTAACCTTATTTTTACATCTCAACGACCTTGACAAAAATTGCGCTGGCCACAAATAGATTTAGCCCAATCCTCCCCAATGTTACTTTGGAGTCTGGGTGATCTGAAATAAAATGTTAGTGTTGAGAGTTATCTCTTCACCTTAAATCGTCTGTCTTTTGTCACAGATAATCTGTTGAACATTAAGATTATAAAACAACTTTTATCTGTGTAAATTAAGTGTGACATCTCAAGCTAAAGATGGCTGGATTACAAGAAGACCCCGCAGTCACCAATTTTAGAAAATATTTACGAATTAATACTGTACAACCAAACCCAAACTATGGTAATTCTTTTACACCTTTTTTTTAAAATAGGGCCGTTTATTTTATGATCAGTAGTGGAATACCACGTTTTATCAGTGAAATAAAAGTGTTATTCCACTGGCTAGCAGTCGTCTATGTTGTTTTTACCTAAAATGATTGTAAAATCATAAAATAAATAGAACATTTGTCGTTTTGTCGTGAATAACATATTTTATTATTTCATCTCTAAGCAAGAAAACGTTTATATTTTCACTCATGCCACGGATTCGTGAAAATATAAGTTTTCTTGCTTCTCGATGAAATAAAATATGTTATTCACGACAAAACGACAAATATCCTCTATATAGGCGTCTGCACTTTTACTTTTTATTCTCCTCCAACGCAGTGACGGCTATAATAGATCTCACTAGGTTTGTTATTAAATTTTTTTCCGGCGTGGTTCTCCCTTGTCAGTGATGCAGGATGGAGGGGCTGACAAGGAAAGCTGTCTAGTCGTTCGGATGGGACGAAAAACCGAGGTCCCGTGAACACATTGGCGTGCACGTAAAAGATCCCTTGGCAGTTGGAATTCGATATAAGAGTAGGCCGTAGTGCCGCTGCCCGGGCAAAATTTCCCTCATAGCACACTGTATGGCCTATGCCCGTCTTTATTAGCCCAGGTTAGGAGCAGAACAGTAGGACGTTAAACTCCATTTCATTTCATTTCATTTCATTTGTTATTAAATTTACCATGGACTCGTATGTAACTATGTTAAATTGATAATTAAACATACAGTATGGAAGATTAGAAAAGAGCTGATCGACAGTTCTCTCTACAATATAACAGTTAAAAACTAGATAATGTAAAGGGATTTTGCTGAAAATTTCAGTCAAATTGATCCGCTCTGAACCGTGAATTTAGCGATTCAATTTTGGGCCTAGCCTCGATCAACATAACTAAAACATAGTCTCGATTCCAATCCAGAATGATATTTGGGAGGGGAGGGGGGTGTGTGTGAATGGATGGTTGAATGGTTAGCACGTGCGCACTCAATCATAAGGCCTGTTATGAGTCAACTGGTGTGGTTTCTAATCCCTGGTTGTACTTGACAAGGAGTTAATTGGGTCGCCTGTCCAACTTCGTGAGTTTTCTCCGGGTCCTCTGGTTAACTCCCACTGCTAAAGACTCCTACGCGCAAGCGAATTATTGAAATAAAATTAAACCATATGTTAAGTCTCAGAATGACCTAGTTTATGTCAAGTGGACGTTAAACCCCATTTCTCTGCTAAATTCGGAGCGAAGTTATGACTGTTTTAAGTATTTACAAGAAATAAAGCATCAATAGTTGTGATTGTCAGTTACCATTGTTTTTAACATTATATTATTAAATGGCACAGGGTTCCAATCCATTTAATATCTCAGCCATCTGATGATCTAAAGAGTTGATAATAAGCTTGTCTGTGTCATGTGAATAAATGTCTTGCATAAGATTTGAAGTCAGAAGAAAGACCTGAAATAGACAGGTTTAGCTCTTACATAATGAAGCGGTTTAAATGTTGCTTTAATAGAAAATGAAATAAAATAGGGTTTAACATCCTACTGTTCTGCTCTGACTGGGCTAATGAAGACGGGCATATGCCATACAGTGGGCTTTGAGGGAAATTTTGCCGAAACGGTGGAACAGCGGCATTACGGCCTACTCTTATATATATTGAATTCCAACTGCCAAGGGATCTTTAAAGTGCATGTGCATGAACAACTAGACAGCTATCCTTGTCAGACCCTCCATCCTGCACCACGGACAAGGGGAAACCACTGCTTTAAACATACATTATGCAAGTGCTAAATCTGCCTACTGCAGGTCTTACTTGAGGCCTGAAATGTAATCAAAATTATTAATTAGACATTAATTAACTTATCTAGACCATAATCAACGCTTGATGGCATCGGATATCTCCAATATTAAGTAGATTAGAACGGTTCAGGCATATTTTGATTTAATTGAAAAATGGAGGAGTGAGACTTAGCTTTGACCAACCAGTACGGTGGTTGCAATTTGTGCACACGTCTTGTCAAACCTTCAAAGGCTAATATTTTGGCTCTGAATAGGGTAATTTGAATGAAATTTTCAATATATTCATTTTACATTATCTATTTTCAAACTGTTATAGCAAGAATGGTTAGCTGTTTATGTTAATAAATGTATCTTTAATAGAGCCTACTTATAATATGCAGGTAATTATTGAAGGCCAACACATGATATGGGTACAGATAGGAGACAATTGAAATTATGCTAGCTCATGCACTTACACTGATTGTATTAACTTACAGAGAGAGAGATAGAGAAAGAGAGAGAGAGATACTCCACTGGACACAAACTAGGTCATTTTGGGACAAGCATGAGAGAGAGAGAGAGAGAGAGGGAGACATTAAACTCCATTTCTCTCTCTCCATTTGATACCGAGTGTCTGGCAGAGGAAAATGTCTAATTGTTTGGATGGGACAAAAAAAAATCAAGGCTCAGCCTACACTTTGAGATTTATGAGAAGTTATTTAGAGTACTGGTAGTGATTCTTTGACAAAATACCATAATGTCCACTCGACACAAACTTGGTCATTTCGGGACTAACACATGGTTCAATGTTATTTCAATAATTCGCTTGTGCGTAGGGGTCTTTAGCAGTGGGAGGAAACCAGAGGACCCAGAGAAAGCCTACAAGGCTGGACAGGCGACCCTACTCCTTGTCACGTACAACCGGGGAATTGAAACCACGGCAGTTGACTCAATGTCATACCTTATGATACAGCGCGTACGTGCTAACCATTCGGCCATCCACCCACCCAAATACCATGGGAACCAGAATATTATTTTGTATGGTTTTATAAAAATATGGGCTAATGAATGAAATTGTAATGATTACATTTAAAAAGTAATGGTAATGGCAATGTAATGGCCCCAGCCCTGAAGTTGAATAATTTTTTACCTTCATAACTTCTGTTATCTAATTTTTCAGCTGAAGCCTCTTTGTATTTTAAAAGTTTGGCAGCTGAACTTGAGCTTCCATACAAGACTGTTCAGGTAGGTTCACGTAGGAAAAGGTAGGGTTAAACTATTGGGTTAAGCTGGGTTTAGCATAGGCTGAGGTAGGGTTAAACTGAAGTTGGATATAGCTGAGGTAGCATAAAGGTGGGGTGGGGATAGACTGAGTTGGGATAGGCTGAGGTAGGCACTGGATAGGCTGAGTTGGGAAATGTTTAGGTAGGTTATGTTAAGGTGGGTTTGACTATGGTAGGTTATGTTAAGGTGGGTTTGACTATGGTAGGTTATGTTAAGGTGGGTTTGACTGGGGTAGGTTATGTTAAGGTGGGTTTGACTGGGGTAGGTTATATTAAGGGGTGTTTGACTGGGGTAGGTTATATTAAGGGGTGTTTGACTGGGGTAGGTTATATTAAGGTGGGCTTGACTGGGGCAGGTTATGTTAAGGTGGTTTTGACTGGGGTAGGTTATGTTAAGGTGGGTTTGACTGGGGTAGGTTATGTTAAGGGGTGTTTGACTAGGGTAGGTTATATTCAGGTGGGTTTGACTGGCTTAGGTTATATTAAGGTGGGCTTGACTGGGGTAGGTTATGTTTAGGTGGGTTTGACTGGTGTAGGTTATGTTTAGGTTGGTTTGAATGGTGTAGGTTATGTTAAACTGGGGATGACTGGGGTCGATTATGTTAAGGTGGGTTTGACTGATATAGGTTATATTAAGGTGGGCATGGCTGGGGTAGGATTTGTTTAGGTAGGTTAGAGCAGAAAAGAAGATGAACTCTGTAGTTCAATTATAGTAACTCAGAAAGAAAATTTGATTTGTTGTACGCTGGCTATGAAACATTGGGGTGGAGACTCGTGCATAAATACAACGAAGCAGTGTCCATCATTTCATCCACAGATAAGATCAAATTATGTTAGTTAATGATAGGCTTATCGTGTGAATAAATGTCCAAATAATAATTGATATAAGATACCTGCAATAGGCATTAATTAGTTCTTACATGATGTTTGTTTCAAGTGAGTATATTACAGGTGGTGAGTGGTAAAGATATGTGTATTATTACCTGGACTGGACAACAACCAAACTTGTCATCTATACTATTATATTCTCATATTGATGTTGTTCCTGTCTTTCGAGTAAGTTCACTACTTTATACAGATACAGTTATCATGGTAGTTTCAAAATAACCACATGTTAGTCTCAAAATAACCACATGCTAGTCTCAAAATAACCACATGTTAGTCTCAAAATAACCACATGTTAGTCTCAAAATAACCACATATTAGTCTCAAAATAACCACATGTTAATCTCAAAATGACCACATGTTAGTTTCAAAATAACCACATGTTAGTCTCAAAATAACCACATGTTAGTCTCAGATGACCACATGTTAGTCTCAGATGACCATATGTTAGTCTCAGATGACCATATGTTAGTCTCAGATGACCATATGTTAGTCTCAGATGACCATATGTTAGTCTCAAAATAACCACATGTTAGTCTCATAATGACCACATGTTAATCTCCAAAAGACTATATGTTAGTCTCAATGTAACAGGTTTGCAAAAATGTTAAACAAAGTCGTGTTAGACAGGATCATAATACTAGTAGTAGTTTTATTTAACTTTTATAAGGTTCTTAAAAAATTTGTTGGGTTGCCCTCTGTGCGTGTTTCTAAATTCAATTTCTTGTTCCAGCTTTCAGTTATGTTTTGTAAAAAAGTAGTCTTGATTATCCCGGCCTGTCAATCAGTAAGAGATTGGTCATTAGACTGGTTAAGCGAGACTAATTTCAAAACAAGGGCACGTAACCTATTTTTTGCTCAAAAGTGTCTGGATGTTATGGACGACACTCGGAACCATCTTACAGTGTATTATTTATGGATGGTTAAATGTTGATAGCTTAGATTGGTATAAATATAAATATTGGGGTATAAATGTCAAGCTATTTATGGTGGGGAACTATACCTCTGTCGGACTATTCATCAATCCAATAAGAGTGATTATCATTTTAATGTACGTGTTTACCTCGTGGTTTCTCCATTGTCGGACATTGTCGCCAGGTCTTTCCTTGTCTTCATTAGCCGAGTTGGTGGTGAAAGGTAGGACGTTAGTTAGACCGTATTTCATTTCCTTCCAAGTCACATACGCTCTCAGCAGGGATCGAAACCGTTGCAACAATTCAGACTGGCCAACTAGAACTTGAAGCTTAATTCTCTAGATCATCTCAACCTCCCCTAGATGGAACATGCATGTATATATTATGTTCTTAATTTTATTGGAGGAATATTGGAGAGTTGATCTATTCCAACCACCCCTAGCTTGAATGTATGTCATGTTTGTCACATATGTCATGTAGGTCACATATGTCATGTATGTCATGTTTTTGTATATATTGTAGGAACATTGGAGAGTTGATCCATTCAGTGCGGAGAAGATAGATGGTAATATTTATGCTAGAGGATCGCAGGTAGCCGTTTTAAATTTTTTTCATCTGGATGTTCGCACTTAAATATGTTATAGATAAATTGACAAATACATTAATTTCCTTTTAGTTAAACTGACAAGAATTTAAAGGGACTGTGGCAGTCGTGTGGTAAAGGATGCTGGAGTCAAGACTACAATGTCCATTGTTTGAAATACTAATGTTTGCTGATAAATTGAATGGGGTGCGGTTTTGCTCCGACTGGGGTAATGAAGGCGGATATATGCCATACAGTGTGCTATGAGGGAAATTTTGCCCGGGCAGCAGCAATACAGCATAACTCTCATGTCGAATTCCAGCTGAAAAGGGTTCTTTTAGGTGCCAACAGTGTTTACACAGGATCTTGGTTTTTCATCCCATCTGATCGACTGTTTGTTGTCTCGTACACGGCTCTCTGTCCTGCACTACTGATGACCGGGGAATCATTACGGAGAATTTGGTGAAGAGCAGTTATAAATCTTGTAATATAATGATATAATGGTGATTTAGGGAGAGAGGGGGGAATGGGGTTTAAATTCCACCTGATGCAAACTAGGTCATGTCGGGACTAACATAGGGGTATTTAGCAGTGGAAGGAAAATGGAAAACCCGGAGAAAACCCACAAGGTTGGACAGGTGACCCTACTTCTTGTCACGTACAACCAAGGAATGGAAACCCCACCAGTTGACTCAATGAAAGATCTTATGATACAGCGCGCATGTGTTGACCTTTCGGGTATCCAACTCCCCGTATTTTTGGGGAATTATTATTATCATCATCATTATTATCATCATAATTTTTGAGAATTATTATTATCATCATCATCATGAATCCTGTTACTTTTTAACTAGAGATTACACGTCGAATGTGGTAAGGTTTAGTCTTCGCTTTCCATATTGGACAGACTGTGCCACACTATGCTGCCTGGGCTGAATTATCATCACTAAAGTATTATGCTGTAGAGACATTATACCCACAGAGCGGTGTTTAGTTTGAAACTTTTGACTATACAAATACAAAAATTATTATTATCATTATTCCTTTTCTTTATGAAGAATTTTTTACTTTTGTCTTTTCTTTTTTAGGATATGAAATGTGTCGGCATACAGTAAGTACAAATCAGGGGTTATTTCATCCCCTCAATTTCGTCACCTGTTTAACTTTGTAATGTACTGAGAAGAGGGCACAGTAATATGTACCTCTTTGTTAAGTTGTTTACGTGTAAATAGAGGGGGGTCGTCTGTCCAACCTATGGATTCCTCCTACATCTAAAGACCCCAACGAATTATTGGAAATTATTGGAAAAAAAAATTAAACCATATGTTAGTCCCGAGTCTAAATGATCGAACAATAGAAGGTATTTAAAAAAATATGTGGAAGATATGTTTTGTATTTTAGATATATTGAAGCAATCAGAAGATTAAAGAAAGAAGGCAGAAAATTTCAAAGAACGATTCACATCATATTTGGACCAGGTATCATTTTATTTGTCAGGGCTAGAGTTAGTTTAGACTGCTGATACAATACAGGGAAATCCCCAACCATTATTATAGTTTAGATTCATACTGATGCAATACAGGGGAATCCCCTAGTATTAATTCATACTGATACAATACAAGGGAATCCCCTACCCTATCATGCATACTAATGGAAAATACAAGAAAATCCTCTACCAGTATTAATTTATACTGATGTAATACAGGGAAATCCACTAAGAGTATTAATTCATAATGTGCAATACAGGGAATCAATTAATACTAATGTAATACAGGGAATTTCCCTACCAGTATCAATTCATAATGTGCAATTACAGGGAATCAATTAATACTGATGTAATACAGGGAAATTCCCTACCAGTATTAATTAATATTGATACAATACATGGGATTTCCCTACCAGTATTAATTCACACTGTGCAATACAGGGAATTCCCATACATGTATCCATTTATGTTATTATAGAACAGTTAATTCCTCTTTCTGTATCAATTCAAGCTATATAGTACAATTCATACTAATACAGGAAAGAAAAATCCCTACCTGTATCCATAAATAGAATACAGGTAAGGGAAACCCCATACCTGTATCCATTAATAGAATAAAAGAAAAGAGAAACCCCCTACCTGTATCCATTAATAGAATACGCGAAAGGGAAACCCCTACCTGTATCCATTAATAGAATAGAAAGGGAAACCCTCTACCTATTTCAATTCATAGAATATAGAGAATATGTCGACAAGAATAGATTTGTTTTTGTATTTTTCTCATGTTTTGTTATATATAATTTTACCAGATGAGGAAATAGGAGGAATCGCGGGAATGGGAACATTTTATAAAACTGATGAATTTAAACAACTTAATATAGGATTTGCTTTGGATGAAGGTATACATAACATCTATATTATTCTTCTTCTCATTGATGTTTTGGGGATCACGTGGCTAAGTGGGTAAGACGCTAGCTCGCTAGCCTGGAGGTCGGGTGTTCGATCCCTGCATTGGCCGAGAAAGTTCATCCAGATTTTCCGGCGTGGTTCTCCCTTGTCAGTGATGCAGGACGGAGGGGCTGACAAGGAAAGCTGTCTAGTCGTTCGGATGGGACAAAAAACCGTGTACACATTGGCGTGCACGTAAAAGATCCCTTGGCAGTTGGAATTCGATATAAGAGTAGGCCGTAGTGCCGCTGTCCGGGCAAAATTTCCCTCATAGCACACTGAATGGCGTATGCCCGTCTTCATTAGCCCAGGTTAGGAGCAGAACAGTAGGACGTTAAACTCCATTTCATTTCATTTCATTTCATTTCATTGATGTTTTGGTCCAAAGTCTGGCTTTCACTTGTCCGGGGTGGTATCTGTAGGGCTGACAAGTGTTCCTATTTGTGACGATGGGACGGATAAAGAAGTTTCACTTGTGTACACATTGGCATGTACGTAAAAGTGTGGGGGAGAGAGAGAGAGAGATAAAAATGGGGCTTAATGTCTACTCAACACAAACTAGGTCTTTCCGGAACCAGCATATGGTTCAATTTTATTTCAATAATTTGCTTTCGAGTAGGGGTCTTTAGCTGTGGGAGGAAACCGGAGGACAGGCGACCCTACTCCTTGTCACGTACAACCGGGGAATCGAAACCTAATCACTTGACTCCACCCCCCACTGCACTGAAAGAATCTTGATACATAGAATGCGTCCCGGCAGAATTCTCCTAAATGCGTCTACCGGACAATTCGAATTCAACTTGAAATGTTCAGTAGAGTTATGACTCTTGAATGCGTTAAGCAAGAAGAATGTTTCAAGAAGAATGTTTCACTTAAATAACCAAATTAAACAGACATTAAGAATGTTTCACTTTTATAAAATTAAACAGGCAATATATGCAGCCCTTTTTAAAGGATATTTCTGTTAAACATGCATTATGCAAGAGCTAAATCTGCCTATTGCAGGTCTTTCTTTAGGCCTTAAATGTTATATAAACTATTAATTAGACATTAATTAACTTATCCAGACCATAATCAAGTCACGATGCCATTGGAGCGAGACTTAGCTTCGAACAAGTTAACAACCAGTACGTTGGTTGCAATTAATGCACACGTCTGTACAAACCTTCAAAGGCTAATATCTTCACTTGCAATATAGTAATTTGAATGAAATTTTCAAATTATTCGTTTTACATTTTCTATTTTTGAACTATTATAGCAAGAATGGCTAATTCTTTATCTGAATCTTACATAATGTAGCTTTAATTGTCCTTAATTGTTTTTATAATTCTAGGCATTGCTAATCCAGAAGAGGCATTTAGAGTGTTTTATGGTGAAAGGAATTGTTGGTGTGAGTACATACACTGTATTATATAATTTGATCAAGCATTTTGTCATTTACTTCCGCTAGGGTGCTATACTCAAATTCATTATTTAATATTTAATTAAAGGTACATTCCCACTCACAAACTGGGTGATTTAATGGTATATATGGACTAAAAACATATTCAAACTAATTAATTTGTCATAATTTTGCCTCAAATCCTTCTCAAACATTGTAATTGCGAAGGAATGCCTTGCTATAAAAATTCAATCAAACCAGGTCATGTTTACGTCACGTGTTTTACCTCTCTTGAAAGTCAGAGGAGAATTCATTGTATACATAAGACGATGTTGTCTTTAATCACTTACTATTTTTTACAAATATCGAATCCTAATTAAATTCTCGGATTATCCACTACCCGCGTCTTTTTCCGTCATTTTTATCTCAGAAAGTGTTGTACGTCTAATTCTTCATAAAGTTTATCAACTTGTACATCAAGCGGTCAATGTTAGCGTGTGACCTTTGACATCACGCGTGCAAAATTCCTAATCGTCGGGCTGTTGATTAGGGGAACCCTTACATTTTTGTCCTGTGTACGCTCCATGAGTGTTTTTCAGGGAATCCAGTATTTTTCTAGTAAGATTGGATATCTCTACTTTCCATATATACCAAAATTGCCATTCTTTTATTGGAAATAATCACCCAATAAATACTTTTCTGGGAAGCCATCTTTAAGGAATAAAAAATATCAGACATATTTAAAAGAGGCTCATCAGACAAGTTTATGGAAGTAACACAATAGGCAACGGCGTATTCTTATATTGAATTCCAACTGCCAAGGGATCTTTTACATGCACACCAATGTATACACAGGACCTCGGATTTTTGTCTTATCAGAATGATTAGACAGCTGTCCTTGTCAGGCCATCCATATTGCACCACGTCGGAAAATCCCGATGAACTTTCTTGGGCAATGCAGGGATTGAACATGCGACCTCCAGGCTACCTGTGATCGAACCCATGACATGCATACATAATAGATTAAATGATCTACAGCATTATCCCCCATATACCTCATCCCGCCCCCACCATTTCATATTTGTCTGTAATAAATATAACTCTCTTAGAAATTCAAAATTTATGCCAATTTTCAAAAGCAATACACACATCTCGTGCAATATGATTAATGTTTTAAATCCCCCAAACGAAATTGCTAGTCAGGTTGCTTCATATATATATATATATATAAGTGTCTCCAAGAAAGAGCATCAGAGTTACCTGTTGACCAACAACCCTGTTCAATATAATATGTTTATTATACTAATACTTAGGGTAGAAATAGTTTGTTTACTTTCCAGGCTAGTCTAGATACTTTTCGTTTTAGCTCTATACTGATTTTCATTATATTGACCATCTTTTGATGCTTATAGACTTATTATATCACATTGTACATCCATAAATGATCAGCCCAGATGTTATTTTATAATTGTATGATCACCTTTTATTTAAACTGTGTATGCTGTCCTTGCTGGATGAAATGATACAATAAAATCTCATCTTATCTTATCTTATAATATATTTATAAACCGGGATTTGTTACTGTATAATATATCGAGATATTGTAATATATTTATAAACCAGGATTTGTTACTGTATAATATATCAAGATATTGTAATATATTTATAAACCGAGATTTGTTACTGTATAATATATCGAGATATTGTAATATCTTGTAATATATTTATAAACCAGGATTTGTTACTATATAATATTTCGAGATCTTGTAATATATTTATAAAGGGTGTACAGTTGTTTGTCCAGGTGCTCCTGGTCATGGATCAGCTATCCTCAAGAATACAGCTGCTGAAAAGTTTGTAAATATATTTAGTATAACGTAGAACAAGATATTTACGTAAAATGTGAAAAGTGGAATTTTGGCAATTACACTATTGTAATTCAACATGGGAACAATTACACCATATTAGTACTACTGGGGTACAATTGCACTATTGTAATTTTACATAGGAACAATTACACTGTATTAGTACTACTGGGGTACGATTACACTATTGTAATTTTACATGGGAACAATTACACTATATTGGTATTACTGGGGTACAATTACACTATTTTAATTCTACATGGGAACAATTACAACATATATTAGTACAACTGCAGTACAATAATTCTGCAGAGGAACAATTACAATATATTAGTACTGTGGGTCAACATAGTGATTATACATATGAACAATTCCATAATTGTAATACCACAGGGGACAATTACAATATTATGCCACATTGGAACAAGTACACTATTATAATTGTAGATTGGAACAAATGCACTTTTGTAATTCTACAGGGAAATAAATACATAATTGTAATTCTACATGAGAATAATTACAATATTGTAATTCTACATGAGAATAATTACAATTTTGTAATTCTACATGAGAATAATTAAAATATTGTAATATTACATGAGAACAATTACAACAGATTGGAGCCTAAATGCAAACCGTATCTTATTTTGTATCGTATTTCAGAATAAAGTTATCAACAGTTTTTTGTCGTTTAGACGAGAACAAGAACAAAGGTAAGTACAGACTCAGATTCATCAAGATTATTGATGAGGATTTGTTGTTGATCAGATTCCTCAAGATTTTTGATGAAGATTTGTTGTTGATCCGATTCCCCAAGATTTTTAATGAAATGAAATGAAATGGGGTTTAACGTCCTACTGTTCTGCTCCGAACTGGGCTAATGAAGACAGGCATACGCCATACAGTGTGCTATGAGGGAAATTTGCCTGGACAGTGGCACTATGGCCTACTCTTATATCAAATTCCAACTGTCAAGGGATCTTTTATGTGCACGCCACTGTGTACACGGGACCTCGGTTTTCCGTCCCATCCGAAGGACTAGACAGCTGTTCTTGTCAGGCCCTCCGTCCTGCATCACTGACAAGGGGGAACCACGCCGGAAAATCTGGATGAACTTTCTCGGCCAATGCAGGGATCGAACACCCGACCTCCAGGCTAGCGAGCCAGCGTCATACCCACTTAGCCACGTGATCCCCAATTTTTGATGAAGATTTATGCATTATCAGGTGCATTATGTGAGATTTAGATAAAGAGCTGACCAACACCGTGATCGAACATGGGACCTCCAGGTTAACGAGCCAACATCTTACTCATCGAGTCACCGCAGCTCCTTCAAGACTTCTCATGCTGAGCTCACACTTTATGGCTGCCAGGAGTGGGTTGTGGGGGTCGAGTGACCCAATGCACATGCTTTAGATCATAGACTCTGGTGTGTGTGGGGGGGTCTAGTGGGAGTGGGGGGTGTCGAGTGGCCAAATGCACATGCTTTGGATCATAAACTCTGTCATTGAGCTGGAATTTTAACCATGATAAATACTCTTGTCAAAATAACACAAAGCAATGTTTCATTTGTATGTTTCAGATTAGAATCCAACCCCAACCTGACGCTTGGAGATGTTACATCTGTTAATTTAACTATGGTTCAGGTTAGTTTGAGATGTTATTGAAAGTTTGCGATCCTTCCCTCTCAAAGATCCCCAATTATCACCACCAGCACAGGGATCACCAGTTATCACCTCCAGGATGGGGATCCCCAATTATCACCTCAAGTACAGGGATACCCAATTATCACCACCAGTACGGGGATCCCCAATTATCACCTCCAGCAAGGGGATCCCCAATTATCACCTCCAGCAGGGAGATGTCCATTCCATCTCTTCAACCAAGGAGATAACTAGCATGGAGATTCCCAGTCATTAACTCCAGCAAGGAAATCCCTAAACATGACTCCCCTCACAGAGATCAGTAACCAGCACCTCTAACAAGATGATTCCCAATCATTTCCTCCAGCAAGGCGGTCTTTAATCATAACCTCCATTACAGTGAACCCCAATCATCACCCCTAGCATGCAAAACCCCCACCATCACTCCCCACACAGAGATCAGCAATCAGCACCTTCAAATAGATGATTCCCAATCATTTCTTCCTGCAAGGGGGTCTTTAATAATCATGACTTCAGCACTTAGAACCTGAATCATCACACCAGCATGAAGAACCCTAACCATCATCTACAGCAAGAAGATCTGTAATCATCATTCCCAGCACAGAAATCCCCAATCATCACCTGCAACCAGAAGATTTGCAATCATCACCTCTATCAAGCAGAAACCCCAATCAGCACTCCAGAGCAAGGAGATCCCCTATCAGCACTCCCAACAAGACAATCTCTAATTAGCACCTCCAATAAGGAGATACCCAATCATCAGCACCCCCAACAACGAGATTCCCCATCAGAACTCCAACAAGATGATCCCTTATCCTAATCTCCTGCATGGCGATCCTCAATCAACACCCTAAACTTTGGAGATTTTCCAATCAGCGGGACAGAAAGTTATTTCATTTATTTTGTGTTTTTTTAGGGTGGTGTTCAAATGAATGTTATTCCGGCAGAATTGAAAGCCAGTAAGTATGAGTTTAGATTTTCCTGCATCATTTACACAGGGGAAAACACTTATCAAAGCTCTAATCAATTCTGAAATGAGAAAATGTCTTCAATAAAGCTTGATATCTACATGTACAATCATCAATTGAGAGAAATGGGGTTTAACGTTCACTCGACAGAAACTAGGTCATTTCAGGACTAACACATGGTTCAATTTTATTTCAATAATTCGCTTGCGCGCAGGGGCCTTTGGCAGTTAGAGGTAACCAGAGGACCCGGAGAAAACCCACGAGGTTGGACAGGCGAGCCTACTCCTTGTCACGTACAACCGGGGAATAAAAACTTTGTTTTTTTGTCGTACTGACTTTAGTAATGATGATTGAGGTTAGGCCTAAAATTCGGTTCAGAGTAGATCAATTTGACTGGAATTTTCCAGCATATTCTATTTACGTTATCTATTTTTTAACTATTATAGCGAGAACTGTCTACTCTTTATCTAATCTCCCATAATGCCACTTTAAATAAAATTGTTTTTTAACATCTTACGTTTCTGTGCCAACTGGGATAATTAAGAAAGGTATGATGAAAATTTTGCTCTGACAATAGTGTTATGTTATTTTTTTGCATGCTAACTTTTATATTGGGATTTCGGTGGACGGACGTTTTGGCCAGTGGACATTTCGACCAAGGATATTTTGGCCTAAAACGTTTCTGCCAATTTTACAAACAAAAAAAAAAATTTTTTTTTCGAAAAATATGTTTTGATTGTGAATAAAGTAATTTTTAAAGCATTTAAAGGGAACACCACGTCCAGAAACTTCCAGATTCCGATGTTTGGTGAATGGATGATAACTACGCAATTGCACTCAGTATTTTTATGCAGTTGTATGTCATCCAGGGTCGTGTATCAGGAGTTTTTGTTCCATTTGTTAGAGGAGCATGGTTGTGACCCGTCAACTGTTACAATAGACTTTGAAGGCTCTCTAGACTGTAGATTTTGCTCTTCATGCAGTGTATGGACCACGAGTACAGATTCAGTACTGTTTTTATCACCTTAATCAATCAACTTGGAGACACATCCAGTCACTAGGACTTACAAACATGTACAAAGAAGACAACGAAGCGGTCAGATCTTCATGTAGTGTAGGCCATCGAAAGTATAAAAAAACGAAACAAAATATTGATGTGTATTTTAATCAGATTGTCATTTATCACTGACCAGGGTAGATTACACAGAAAAATTCCAAGGAATATTCATGTCTGACAGGGATGGAACTTAACAACAGGGACTCCTTGGCCAAAAGACAAGGTTTTTCCATTTCTTCTGGTTCTCGTTGAGGTATGACCTTTAGCATGGATTTGGTTTGTTTTGCCAGGTTTTGATATACGAATTCCACCAACTGTCAATCTGGAGGAGTTTGAAAAGAAGATAAATTCATGGTGTAAAGAAGCAGGTGAAGGGATTCAACTAGTGTATCCAGTAGTAAGTAATTCAACTAGTGTATCAAGTAGTCAGTAATTATATAATTCAACTAGTGTATCCAGTAGTCAGTAATTAAATAATTCAACTAGTGTATTCAGTAGTCAGTAATTATATAATTCAACTAGTGTATACAGTAGCAAGTAATTATATACATATAATTCAACTAGCGTATCAAGTAGTAAGTAATTACATAATTCAACTAGTGTATCAGTCAGTAATTCAACTAGTGTATCATGTAGTCAGTAATTCAACTAGTGTATGCCGTGGTTAGTAATTGTATAATTCAATTGGTAAACAATTATATAATTCAACTAGTGTAGTCAGTGGTTAGTAATTATATAATTCAACTAGTGTAGTCAGTAATTCAACTATTGTATGCAGTGGTTAGTAATTATATAATTCAACTAGATTATGCAGTAGTGTATGATGTATGTCGGCCAGTCCGGTCACTAGTGTAATCAGTAATTCAACTATTGTATGCAGTGGTTAGTAATTATATAATTTACCTAGATTATGCAGTAGTGTATAGTGTATGTCGGCCAGTCCGGTCTTCATTAGGCTAGATTATTTGTTTGTTTCAGAAAGGGATGAATCAAGATATAACATCTATTAGTCCTGATGACAAATGGTGGGCTGCTTTCTCTTCTGCTTGTAATAATCAGTAAGTAGTTTAAAATAGTCAATCCCCATTGTGTAATTTTTATTTCATCATTTTTGAACTGGTATTCAACTGCTACAATAGTTTACAAGGGAGTATAAATCCCCTCAAATAACAAGTTTATAAGGGAGTATAAATCCCTCCAAGTAACGAGTTTACAAGGGAGTATAAATCCCTCCAAGTAACGAGTTTACAAGGGAGTATAAATCCCCTCAAGTGACGAGTTTACAAGGGAGTATAAATCCCCTCAAGTGACGAGTTTACAAGGGAGTATAAATCCCTCCAAGTAACGAGTTTACAAGGGAGTATAAATCCCCTCAAGTAACGAGTTTACAAGGGAGTATAAATCCCCTCAAGTGACGAGTTTACAAGGGAGTATAAATCCCCTCAAATGACAACCCGAGACTTGAATATGTAAGAAGAAGAATATATACAAATCGGTAATATTTAGATATACTTACAAGTATTTTTAGGGGTACAGTATGTAAATTAACTCTTAACTCTAGCACTCCTAATCGAATTATAGAAATAGAATTGAACCAAGTGTTAATCCCAAAATGACCTAGTTTGTGTTGAGGTGGGCGTTAAACTCAGTGGTTAGCTTCAGTTTTACTTTATCTATATGCATGATACTTTTACAGGAATATTAAAATACGAACTGAGATAATGCCAGCTAGCACTGATTCTGAGTTTTTCAGATGTGTGAGTTTAGTATTGGTTTTGGTTAAAACTGTTAACAATTTGCTGTGCTTTATAATAGTTTGAAGTGTTTTAATATTGGTTTTGATTAAAACTGTTAATAATTTGCTGTGCTTTATAATAGTTTCAACTGTTTTTGTGCTGTTGTGTTTTTATGGTTCTTTTGTATCAGTTAAGACTCTGATAATCATATTGAAGTGGGGTTGGATGGTCGAATGGTTAGTGGGGTGCACGTCATATCATAAAGTCTGTCATTGAGTCAACTAACGTGGTTTCAATTCCCCGGTTGTACGTGACAAGGAGTAGGGTCGCCTGTCCAACCTCATGTTTTTTCTTTGGGTCCTCCGGTTTCCTACCACAGCTAAAGACCCCTACGCGCAAGCGAATTATTGAAATAAAATTGAACCATGTGTTGGACCCCAAATGACTTAGTTTGTGTTGAGTGGACGTTAAACCCCATTTCTCTCTCTCGTTCATCATATTGAAGGGATATTTAACTTTAAGGCCTTACAAGCTGAAATCATGTGGAAGGTTGATTAACAGGAATATAAGTCAAAAAATGGCATTCTATGCCAACGATATGAAAGCCAGTGATACCTATGGTCTTCCATAAACTGGTCTTCCATGAGCCTCTTTTAAATCTGTTTAATATTTTTGTTTTCTTCATTAAGTATTCAATAATGAATTTGAGTATATTTTAGTGTGGATTAAAGGTTGGAA